ATTAATTCCTGGAGACTCCAGGACAACGCTGGAGGGTTGGTGACCCTACTCATGCTTCCTTTCCTTAGAATCATGAAATCTATCATTTCATGATCACTTTCACCCAAATTGCCTTCCACCTTGAGATTCACTGCCAGTTCCTCCCTGTTGGGCAGAATCAAGTCTAAAATAGCTGTCTCCCTGGTTACTTCCTCCACTTTCTGAAACAAGAAGTCATCCCTAACACACTCGAAGAACTTATTGGAAATTTGTTGTTTTGCCATATCACTTTTCCTACAGATGTCTGCATAGTTAAAATCCCCCATTACTACCAGGGCTTGCGTGCTGGATATTCTGTTATTTGTTCTAGAAATGACTCATCCACCTTCTCTTCCTGATTTGGTGGTCTGTAGCAGACCCCTACCATGATGTAGTTCCTGTTTTTTACCCTATTTATCTTTACCCCAAGGCTCTTAACTGGTCTGCCTCTCACCTCCTTCTTGACCTCAGAGCAAGTGCATATATTCTTGATGTACAATGCAACCCCTCCTCCCTTTTTACCCTGCCTGTCCTTCCTCAACAAGTTGTACCCCTCTATACCAATATTCCTGTCATGAGATTATCCCCCCAAGTCTCTGTGGTGCCTATTAAGGAATAATTTACCTTATAAATTAATACTTCCAATTCTTCCTGTTTATTCCCCATATGCCTTTCATTTGGGTACAGACATCTAAGATGTCAAGCAGATTCCCCCACTCTTTTCCCTCTTGTTGTTTTTATGACCTTGTTGTAATTTTCCATGTTCCCCCAAAATCTAACCCTCTCTTAAGGTGGGTACTGACCTGTGAGCTTTTATCACCTGCCCCCTTACAACCTCATTTAAAACCCTTCTCCCTAGGGTGGCGAGCTGGTGCACAAAGAAAGTTGCTCTTCCCCTTCTCGGTCAGGTGGACCCATCTCTTCTCAAGGATGAGGAGCTGTCTCTCTGCTGGGACCCTTGGACAGGAGGCCACTCACAGCGCTAGGCCAGGATTCACTCGCCACTTCAAAGTGCCTTGCATTGGGAGTGTGGGCATGGACCTGCCCTGTATGGGGAGACCCCGACACGTGGCGCTGATCCATACACATGCACCCAGAGCCTCAAAGGTAGTAAGGGGAGTTAGTCATCTAAATACCGGCATTGAGGATGTAGCCCCAGTGTGGAGTTGCTCAGCAGGAGGAAAGGCAGATAGGTCAGAGCGGGAATGGGGGAATAGTCTGGACCAGGGGTAGGCAACCTTTCAGAAGTGGTGTGCCAAGTCTTCATTTATTCACTTTAATTTAAGGTTTCGCGTGCCAGTAATACATTTTAATGTTTTTTAGAAGGTCTCTCTCTATAAGTCTATATTATATAACTAAACTATTGTTGTATGTAAAGTAAACAAGGTTTTCAAAATGTTTAAGAAGCTTCATTTAAAATTAAATTAAAATGCTGATTTTACACCGCCAGCCTGCTCAGCCCGCTGCCAGCCTGGGGTTCTGTTCACCTAGGCCGGCAGGGGGCTGAGCGGGGCCTGCGGCCAGGACGCCGGCTGGCAAGGGGCCGGCAGCCAGTACCCCTGGGGGGGGGGTTCAGGGGTCAGGGCAGAGGACTGGGGGTGTGGGGGGGTTCAGAGGTCAGGGCAGAGGGATGGGGGCTGTGGGGGTGCAGGGCAGAAGGCTGGGTGTGTGGGGGGGTTCAGGGGTCGGCAGAGGGCAGTGGGGGCGTGGGGGGTGCAGGGCAGAAGGCTGGGTGTGTGGGGGGGGTGCAGGGGTCAGGGCAGAGGGCAGTGGGGGTGGGGGGAGGTTCAGGGGTCAGGGCAGAGGGCTGGGGTGCTCGGCTTGTGGGGGTGCTCCCAGCCCCCTGCCCTCAGCGGCTCATGGCAGGGGGCTGGAAGGGATATGCCCTGTTCCATCCCCTTCCCCAAGGCCCCGTCCCTACCTCTTTTCTGCCTCCTCTACAGAGTAGCGAGCATGCTGCCACTCCTCCCCCTCCCCCTCACAAGGGCCATCAGCTGATCGGCACAGGGAAGGAGAGAAGGAGGGGCAGGAAAGCACCAGGCTGGGGGAAGAAGTGGGGGAGGGGGGAAGCTTGGCTGCCGCAGGACCAAGCTTCTGCCTCCTGCCCCCGCAGGGGAGAGCAGTGGGTGGGGGGGCTGAGTGGGACTGGGGGCCGGGACTGCGGCAGGCAGAAGCGTGCCACTCAAAATCGGCTTGTTTGGCACGCGTGCCGTAGGTTGCCGACCCCTAGTCTGGACAAACTGGGCTATGAGCTTTCCTTAGTTAAGCCCCGTTGCAGGAGCAGTTCCCATTCCTGTCCCATCCCCTCCCATCTGCATGGCTTCTTAGTCTTTCTAAACTCTGAGCTCCATGCCCCATTTCAGGCCACGATGGAGGGACAGTCAACATGGATTCACCAAGGGCAAGTCATGCCTGACAAACCTGATTACCTTCTATGATGAGATAAGTGGATATGGGGAAAGCAGTGGACATGATATATCTTGACTTTAGCAAAGCTTTTGATATGGTCTCCCACAGTATTCTTGCCAGCAAGTTAAAAAAGTATGGATTGGATGAATGGACTATAAGGTGGATAGAAAGCTGGCTAGATTGTCAGCTCAACGGATAGTGATCAACAGCTTGATGTCAAGTTGGCAGCTGGTATCAAGTGGAGTGCCCCAGGGGTTGGTCCTGAGGCCAGTTTTGTTCAACATCTTTATTAATGATCTGGATGATGGGATAGATTGCACCCTAAGCAAGTTTGCGGATGACACTAAGCTGAGGGGAAAGGTAGATACGCTGGATGGTAGGGATAAGGTCCAAGTGACCTAGACAAATTGGAGGATTGGGCCAAAAGAAATCTGATGAGGTTCAACAAGGACAAATGCAGAGTCCTGCACTTAGGATGGAAGAATCCCATGCACTGCTACAGGCTGGAGACCGACTGGCTAAGCAGCAGTTCTGCAGAAAAGGACCTGGGGATTACAGTGGATGAGAAACTGGATATGAGTCAGCAGTGTGCCCTTGTTGCCAAGAAGGCTAATGGCATATTGGGCTACATTAGTAGGAGCATTGCCAGCAGATCGAGGGAAGTGATTATTCCCTTCTATTCGGAACTGGTCAGGCTACATCTGCAGTATTGTGTCCAGTTTTGGGCCCCCCACTACAGAAAGGATGTGGACAAATTGGAGAGAGTCCAGCGGAAGGCAACGAAAACCATTAGGGGACTGGGGCACATGATTTACGAGGAGAGGTTGAGGGAACTGGGCTTGTTTAATCTGCAGAAGAGAAGAGTGAGGGGGGATTTGATAGCAGCCTTCACTACCTGAAGGAGGGTTCCAAAGAGGATGGAGCTCAGCTGTTCTCAGTGGTGGCAGATGACAGAATAAGGAGCAATGGTCTCAAGTTGCAGTAGGGGAGGTCTAGGTTGGATATTAGGAAACACTATTTCACTAGGAGGGTGGTGAAGGACTGGAATGGGTTACGTAGGGAGATGGTGGAATCTCCATCCTTAGAGGTTTTTAAGGACTGTCTTGACAAAGCCTTGGCTGGGATAATTTAGTTGGTGTTGGTCCTGCTTTGAGCATTGGGTTGGACTAGATGACCTCCTGAGGTCTTTTCCAACCCTAATCTTCTATGATTCTATGACATCAGCAGAGATGGGTGAGAAGCTCAGGACTGGAATAGCAGGGGGCTGCAGGTTGGGATTGAGGGGCACTGGCAGAGTTGTCATGGGGGAGTCCAAGGCTGGAATAGCAATGGGCTATGGGTCGGGATTAAGGGGCACCTGCAGAGCTGTGCCTGCCAGAAGCCCAGGGCTGGGTTAGCAGGGGGCTGTGGGTCAGGATTGAGGGTTACCAGCAGAACTGTATGTGGAAAGCCCATAAAGTACAGTCTCTCACAGGCACAGGTAGGATCCAATAGTGCCCTGTGGGAGAAGCAGTCTGGGAAAAGGAGCTGGGTTCACAGCACCAGACCCTCATGCAATATCTTTGCAGGTAGTCAAAACTCCTGGGTCCTGCTGCAGTGACTTGGAACCCCAAGAGAACCCCTGGCCTCAGGCTGAGTGAGGCTGTCAAGGCTTCCTGCTTCTATTGGCCAGTCCCAGGGAAAGCAGAGGGAGCCTTAAGGGGCTGTCTGAGCTCTGTGCTGCTGTTTGCTGAGGATCCCTGGGTAAAACTGCAGCCAGACTGGGGGAGCGTGTGCCTGGTTATCCAGGTCCCTGTGTGAGCCTGCCTGGATGGTCTGTGCTTAGAGCAGGTGCTGGGAGTTCTGGATTCAACCCCTGCCTCAGTCAAACTCCCTGGGTGACCCAGCAAGTCCCCTCCCCAATCTGTGCCTCAGTTTTCACTGTAACATGGGGCTAACAGTATTGCCCTCCCTGATGGGTGTGGGGCTGCACAGCACTGGGACTCTCTGGAGATCAGTCCCATAGAAATGCCTGTAGATAAATATCTGAGTGGGCCCCATCCTGCTCTCACTCAGTGGCACTGGTGTAAATACAAAGGAGTTCAGCATTTGTGGCGCTCCAGCTTCTCCATTCTGGCAACAGCTTCCTCAGTTCCAGTTCCTGCTGGGTGGCCCCCTCTCCCCTACGCCCTGCTGTTGAAGGGTGCTGGGGCCACATGCTGAGAATCCCTGGCTTGGGGAGCCATCCCTCCTTGCACTGCGCTTCACCCATGTGTTCTCCCCACCGTGACAGCAGAGGAATAGTCCCTTTAAGCAGTGCCCAGGCCTATAGCACCCTGTGCCCACCTCACCCACTGAGGCTCTGGCTCTCTGTGTGGGTCTAAGCCTCTGACTAAGCTCCGGGCTGGGGGCAGGTGGCGATGCTCTCCCTTGGCAATCACCCAACGTGCACATTGATATTAATACCTGGTGAGCCCTTTCCAGGGCAGCCTGCTCCACTGCAGAGCTAGAGTGGCTCCAGATTCACGCTGGTGTCCCCCGAGCAACACTCAGCCCTTGATCCCCCATGCTCTGTGCAAACAGACCAAACTCACCTGCCAGGAGCTGAGCAGCAGCAGCAGGACGCAGATGAGCAGTGCCCTCCTGATGCCTGCACCCCACAGCACAGAGGGGAGCCCGCTGGCCATGCTGCCTCTGTTTGTGGCTGGGGAAGGGGGCAAGTGTGGTTACGGTCCTGGTGCTACCCACCCAGCACACACCAGCCACTAGCCCTGGGCTCCTATGTGCTTCCTCCGTCCCCCTGGGTTTCCTGGCACCCGTCTCTCCTGTGATCAAATATTTGACAGGTGCCTGCTGTTTGGTAACTCCCTCGCCCCTGCCTTTTATCCAGCCCCCGCTATCCCTCCCCCTATGGCTGAATCCACAAGGCTCCAGGCCAGCTACCCAATCAGCCCCTTGCAACCCGGAGAGATGAGGATCCACCGTGGGGGGCACACAGCTGAGCGACCCAGCGGGGCAAGGAAGACTTGGCCCCCAGCACACAGCCCGAGTGCTCCTGGACTCCATATCACTGAGCATACCTGCCCCCTCAGCCACTGGCCCTGGCCCTGTTCTCCCAGTGCAGGGCCAATGGCCACATCAGGCCAGGGAGTCTGGGGGGCAGTGCTTCGGTGACTGCAGCAGGATCAGGCTCTGCATGCTCTCCAGGCTATAACAGAACCAGTGAGGCCTAGAAGAGCAGGTACTGGGCCAGGCACCTAGATAGCTGGATTCTAGTCCCAGCTCTGCTGCTGGGTGACCTCAGGCAAGTCCTGTTGCTGCTCTGTGCCTCAGTTTTCCCTCCCGCCCCTTGTCTATTTAGCCCATGAGCTCTTTGGGGCAGAGCCTGTCTCTCACTAGCTGTGTGTGCAGCTCCCAGCACAACGGCTGCTGGGCCAACTCAGGGTGACTGTCACACAAAGAGGAATTAGAGACAATGGACCCAGCTCTGACCTGGTGGAAGCTGGTGTGATTCCCTAGGGCATTACTTACTGCCAGGGGCACAAGGGGTGCCCAGCTCCGCATCCCCCTCCCCTTGCACAGAGGCTCAGGAAAGGTTGCTGGGTGGGATAGAGTTAATAGATTGTAAGGCCATACGGGACCCTTGTGATCATCTGTCTAACCTGCAGAACACAGGCCAGAGACCTGACCCAGGTTTGGTTTGCCACTTTAACTGACTTTGATCAGCCAGTTCCCAAGCTGGAATTAATCAGTGCAATTAGGCTAACAACATAGGGGTTGATGCTGGGTGAAAGGTCAAACATGGCTTAAACCCCCCAAACCTTCCTCAGCGTAGCATGTGGAATCCCTGGGCCAGGGCAGCATGCTGGGCCCTGAGTGCTACAGGGGCAGCTGTGGACTGAGCTGGCATTTCCAGCAGCTCATCTGAGAGCCCAGCTGGTGGGGAGCTGCCACCACCCGTGCTAGTTCAGGAGGCCCAAGAGTATTGGCCATTGGAAGGCAACAGGTGTTTCTAAAGTGAGCTGCTAATTTAGCAGCACATTGATGCTAATCCAGGAGCCCACCCACCCACCTGCTACCTATGGGCCACAAACCAGACCCCAGGGTGCAGCTGAAAGGGGTAGAGTCCAGTCAGGGCTACAGAGAGCCATTTCAAGTTGGGGACCGTTGGTTCCCCCCAACTCTCCTCTTCCCCTCTCAGGAGCTGCCACCTCTGCCCCAGCAGCTTGAACCTGTGAACCCCTATGTCCATCCCCTCCAAATCTGTGAGTGGCTGTGTGACCTGGCATGCAGGGTTGCAGCACCCCCTAGGTTTTGCCTGGCCCAAAAGTGGTCCTGCCATGGCCTGGGCCAGGGGTACCTCCAGCTCTTCAGCTGAGTATCCCAGCTGATCCTGAACACCTGCCACTGGGCTTCCCTCTCTGGGTCAGGGTCATGTGGTTTGGAGAAGCTCTGCTGCTGCCCCAGCCACGTAGCCCAATGGGCAGGTAGTGCTGGAACTGAACTCCCATGACCCCTGTGCATGGCGGTGCCCACCCACCCTGCTAAGATGGGCACTGAGTAGCAGCCTCCTGAGGAAAAGTTACTTTGTAGAGATGCAACATCACCACACGATGCTGAGTCATGACCTAGCATCCCAAGGCCCCCAGGAAATCCAGAACCCAGTCCTGCTCAGTGTGACCCTGCCTGTCCTCCCCTAGGCAGGGATACAGGACTAAATGGCCTGTAGCAAACAGCAGGTTGAAGGCCATTTCATCCATCTACAAGACGGATGGTTGGGTGGCTGGGCACCATGTGATACCCGATCTCAGGGCCGGCGCAACCCATTAGGCGACCTAGGCGGTCGCCTAGGGCACTACAATTTGGGGGGCGGCAACCGCGGCGGTATTTTGGCGGCGGGACCTTCCGCCGCCTCTGTGGGGGGCAGCATTTTGGGGCGGGACCTTCCGCCGCCTAGGGCGGCAGAAAAGCTGGCGGTGCTCCTGCCCGATCTCCAGGTGCTCCATCCCGAGGGCCCATGATGCCATTCTCGCTGCAGTGCAGGAGTCTGCTGTGCTGCCCCAGCGTGGCACTTCCTGGCAGCACGTTCCTTACCCCAGAGGGCAGAGTATGCCACCTGCAGCTCAGCTGGGGGGAGGGCTAGCTCAGTGGTTTGAGCATTGGCCTGCTAAACCCAGGGTTGTGAGTTCAGTCCTTGAAGGGGCCACTTGGGGATTTGGGGCAAAATCTGTACTTGGTCCTGCTAGTGAAGGCATGGGGCTGGACTCGATGACCTTTCAAGGTCCCTTCCATTTCTAGGAGATGGGATATCTCCATTAATTATTATTTAGAAAAAGAGTGCCCCAAGGGTCGGTCCTGGGGCCGGTTTTGTTTAATATCTTTATTAATGATCTGGAGGATGGTGTGGACTGCACTCTCAGCAAGTTTGCAGATGACACTAAACTGGGAGGCGTGGTAGATACGCTGGAGGGTAGGGATCAGATACAGAGGGACCTAGACAAATTAGAGGATTGGGCCAAAAGAAACCTGATGAGGTTCAACAAGGACAAGTGCAGAGTCCTGCACTTAGGACGGAAGAATCCTATGCACTGCTACAGACTAGGGACCAAATGGCTAGGTAGCAGTTCTGCAGAAAAGGACCTAGGGGTCACAGTGGATGAGAAGCTGGATATGAGTCAACAGTGTGCTCTTGTTGCCAAGAAGGCTAATGGCATTTTGGGCTGTATAAGTAGGGGCATTGCCAGCAGATCGAGGGACGTGATCGTTCCCCTTTATGCAACATTGGTGAGGCCTCATCTGGAGTACTGTGTCCAGTTTTGGGCCCCACACTACAAGAAGGATGTGGAAATATTGGAAAGAGTCCAGCGGAGGGCAACAAAAATGATTAGGGGTCTGGAGCACATGACTTATGAGGAGAGGCTGAGGGAACTGGGATTGTTTAGTCTCCAGAAGAGAAGAATGAGGGGGATTTGATAGCTGCTTTCAACTACCTGAGGGGGGGTTCCAAAGAGGATGGAGCTCAGCTGTTCTCAGTGGTGGCAGATGACAGAACAAGGAGCAATGGTCTCAAGTTGCAGTCGGGGAGGTCTAGGTTGGATATTAGGAAACACTATTTCACTAGGGGGTGGTGAAGCACTGGAATGCTTTACCTAGGGAGGTGGTGGAATCTCCGTCCTTGGAGGTTTTTAAGGCCCGGCTTGACAAAGCCCTGGCTGGGATGATTTAGTTGGGAATGGGTCCTGCTTTGAGCAGGGGGTTGGACTAGATGACCTCCTGAGGTCCCTTCCAACCCTGATATTCTATGATTCTCCCCATGGCCATGTCCCTGCTCTTTCCCCATTCAACATACCCATTACAGACCTAGCACTGCACAGAGCTCCACTCCTGGATGTGAAAGGACCCAACTGGCCTTTGCATTGATGCAGCCCAGGGCCAGACTCTGCTGTGTAGCATCACTTGCTCGGGATTTGCAGCTGTGTCACTAAGGGCAGAATCTGGCCCTGGGACTGTGGACTCCCATTCCTGTCATTAGCTGAGGGCTGGCTGACCCTCAGAGAGGTGCCCTGGCAGCTTTCAGGAGTGATACGATCGCCAAGGCCTTCCCACCCAGCATCCGACACCGGGACAGCAATGACATGGCCCCCCTGAAATGCTCCGCAGGTCGGGCTGGAGTCTGTCCTTGATGACAGCCAGGGAGCCCCCTCACCTTCTGATGGTGCTCCCTGGGCAATGCCGTGGGCTTCAGGGACAAAGCTCACCAGCTGCCCCGAGGTCACAGTCTCCCCCCACACTTGGAACGTATCCAGGTGATTTATGTAATGAAGGTGATGGCGAGCCAGGCTAGACTCTGGCTCCCTGGCTCTAGCTGTGCTGACTCTGCCCGGTTGACAGCTACAGGGAGCAGCACTGCCTCTGCCACGCATTGGGACAGAGCTGTGCAAGAGCTGTTTCTACAGTCACTTTCCAGAGGAGAAGCTGCCAACAACACAGAAGAGAGCGTGTCCTGTAAGGAAGGGTCCTTGCCTTAGCTGGGGACTCGCTGTGGGGACAGGGTTGGAGGGTGGGGGGCATAGACCAAGCCTTTCTTTCCCATACCTATGGCTTGCATTTGAAAAGGCCAAACCCAGAGCCCACTGGACCAACTCTTCAGCACACACCAGAGCTGGGCTTGGAGCTGGGACTGAACAGACCCAGCATATTGCACCATCTCTGGTCAAAATGATTCAATATGCTTTGTTTAATAATTGACCAGGCCAATTCCCATCCTGTGCCCTCACCTGCTATCAGAACTGGTTTATTTACCACTGAGAGATCATTGGGGCTAAAAAAACCCACTAATCTGCTTCCCCTGTTCTGACCTGAGGCCACGTGACTGGGATGGGGCAAGGGTTTGGGCTTTTGGCTGTTGGACTAACTCTCAAAGAGCCACAGGAAGCTGAGATCACATCACTCTGAGTCTGGATAGCCATAAATAGCCACGCAACGGGCATGCATGGGGCCTTGGATAGTACTCAGGTGCACAGCTGGAGCCTAGATGGGGGTTTTGCAGGCCCACCAAAGCGTGTTGATGGGCATCGCTAAGGCACTCCCACTCTTTGGCCTCCCACACCACTAACAACACAAACCTGCACAGCTTGTCAAGGGGGACATCTGCTCACCGGGAGCCGGGACCAGATCAAACCCTCAAGCAGAGCTGAGGCCTCCTGGGAGTCCAAGCAATTTAGGGTAGGGCAACCCTTGAGCCCCTCCTCAACACCCAAACTGGGAATCAGAGGAAAGAAAGCCAGAT